TAGCATTATATACATACATTTATCATGCATTACAATTAAAATATCATCTGAATGATGACAAAGCATGATGTGGCACATATTTTGCTGATGCATAGCATACATGTAGTTCAGGATATTTACACAATACACATTAGTAGGGCTACCTCTTTTAAAAACCAGGTGCTAGGCTGCAGGAAATCATCAGTGGTGAAGACTGAAGTTTCAAACATACCATCATCTTTATTGCAACCTTCATGTGGCTTGCTCCGATGCATAATGGCATACAGTACTAAAGGTCTTCTTTCCAGCAGCCATTCTTATAAATAAGGGGTTAAATTTAATACATAACTATTTAATAACCGGAACTTTTACAGCCATGTGTGACGGGAGGGTTCCGAACTTTTCCTATCTAATGTGACCAGAAAAGTGTACGAACCGGGTGACAGTACAGTACAGCAGAGATTTAAGACAATAAGAGGTCCACTATCATCACTTGAACGTTGAAACTGAGCAGCTCATGATGAGGGGCCCAACAGTAAATTTAGCTTTAGTTCTTTCTTTCGTTTATGGAACTCTTGGTTCATCCTGCCCTGCAAGCAGTCCACTATCGTTTTATGTAGAAAAACTACATAATGCCACAGAAGAAATCATCACTGACATGCAGGCTATTGTTCTACAGTCTGGTGCAATCGCTAATATCACCAGCAACCAGGAAGGGCCTCCAAATGTGACAACACTTTACACTGCTCTTACTGCTACTCTCAATGTAACACCAACGGATAATGGATTGGATGAATTTTCTGATGCATTTGATGTCATTACTGATGCATACTTCAAGGCATGCTATGGCCCAGAAGAAGAGAAGCCCAGTCAATCAGATGCTCAGAGTATTCTTTCTGATTTTGTTTCTCTACTTGAGAATAGAAGTGACATAACGAGGATGAGGCAGTTGTTTGGAGAGCTGTCATGTCTACAAAATTTCACCCGCACATCTACTTCTTCTCATGTTTCTAAACGGGGGGCTACTAATTTATCCTTTTGTGCAAAAGCTCCTGATGTCAAACAACTCTATAGATGTTTGGATATAAATAAGCAGTTAGATTGCATCTTTAACATGAATAACCCCAAAGACTGTAACAATGAACAGTTTACGAATTATAATAGAAAGCATTGTCTTGCATTTGTTGTTGATACTACTGGTAGTATGGGAGAGGAGATTGGTCACGTTAAGACTGTTATTCAGCATTTCATACAAAGTGAAGAAAACAGAGTCACACTTTGCTATATCTTGGTTCCTTTTAATGATTTCCATTACAATACTGAAGCAAATTTTGCAAGAAGTAAGTGCAGCCCTGCCTATTTTTAATATTCATTAGAAAATATTTCTTATAGATTTAGAATACAGCAGAATTTATGATGCCAGCTATCTCAGTAGGGACAGTGGAAGTCCTTCATTTTCAATGACAGACACTAACATTACTGTTCGAGGGGTTAATGATCTATTGACAGATGTTAGCAGCTTAAATGCACATGGAGGTGGAGATTGTCCAGAATATGGAATGATTGCAATACTTGAAGCAATAGACCTTATTGATGGCATTAACAAGTCTGATGTTCAGAATAAAGGAAAGCATAACATAATAGTGCTAACTGATGCTTCAGCCAAAGATGATTTGTTATATCAAAGTGTCATTTATGCTGCTAATGACAAAGATAAACCAGATGTAACGGTACATTTCTTTTACAGTGGGGATGGATGTTCAGATGGTTACGGACATTATGAAGATATCAAAAATGCCACAGGAGGTTATAGTGTGAAACAGATTAATGCCGAGAACTTTACACAATTTACAAACTTCATTACTGGGTCATATAATTCAGAAAGTAGTAAAAGAAAAAGAAGAAATACACCAGATTCATGTCAATATTTTCAAGTATCACATTTTGTTCATCAATTCTCATGCCTTATTGAAACATCTTCAAGTTCCATTACTATTACTAAGCCTGATAGTAGTAGTCACAATATTAGTTTTGCTGTTTATGAAGATACAAATCCACAGCCTGGGAATTGGAGGGCTTGTGTTCCTTCAGGAACACTTAAACTCTCTTTCACTTCATCAGTTTCCCTTGAATTGGATGTAAATTTTTTGAAGGAAAGTGAATATGGGGTTTTACTTCCAACAAAGCAGCAATTACCATATGCATGTAAGTGGAATAAAACAATAAGTGCTTTATAGGTATTTGTTTTTATATAGGTGATACCCATACTTTCACAATATCATCACCCCAAATGAGTAATATTTCCCTTGCTCATCCACTCTATTTGGAAATTATTGACAACCTTAATAATGTTCTTCAATATGCTCAGCTAAGTGAATGTGGAGGCTTTCTTTCAGGATCAATAACATTACCCAGTGGATCAGTCCAGTACCAGCTACGTGGACATGATATTGGAGGAATACTATTCACTCATGTTGTCCCTGACTCGTTTGTCACATTTGATACTCCATCAATACAAGCCCAGCTTAAAGGAAAGTCTACCATTGTTCTCAATCCAGGAGGGACTTCAATAGCTCGCATTGCTATATCAAACATCAAGAGTGGTCCTAAGTCACTCCAAGCTTCTGTGTCTATTATAATACACTCTCAAGTTAATGTCAGTGTTGATACTACATTGTTTACATTGGAGCCAATGCAGCAAGAAAAGGAGCTTCAAATAACATTTGTTACTTCGGAAACTTTAACAGTAGGGCAAACTTTAGCATGGTCAGTAGTCATACTTGACACATGCTCCAACGAACCATTGATGATAAACTTTACTGCTATCATGAAACCATCAATACCTTTTAATGTAACCGGCATCAGTAAATCAATGATACTATTTGAATGGTCACCTCCAGTTAATCCTACACTAGGAAATATTACCCACTATGTGCTGACACTAGACTACACCAATGGAACAATTGCTACAGTTAATGTCTCTGGTGACATTAACCAGTACCAAGTGAATGAGCTATCACCATATCAACAAGTCTATGCTAGTATTGTGGCTTACAGTGATAATGGAGAAACAGCAGAAATTGCACCAATTGCTGTGCTTACTGATCAAGCAGGTAGGCCTTATTCATTAGTGACAATATTGTAGAAATCAATTATCATTTACTCATACCATTCACCACTACAATAAAAATATGTCTGGTAACAATAGCTATTTACAACTTGTAAAGTATATGCTGCATATAAAAATCTTTTACTAATATATTTACACTTGCACACATAATATACAGTAATTGTAGCATCAATGCACTATTGTTTTTTTATCAATGGTGTAATTTGTATTGTTATTTTAGAATGTCCACACTACTAAAAGAAACATACAATTATTTTTTAAGGTTTTCTGTTTGTCTTGTCATTTATACTGCTAAGTTATCTTTAATGATACATATATTTCTTTATATTATGGTAGAGCCTGGACCAGTCTCACAGTTAGCAACAGAATCAATCTCAGAGACCTCTGTCCTTATATCATGGTCTGTACCTCAAGAACAGAATGGGATAATCTTATTTTATGAAGTGTCCATTATGGGATTATACAATGAGACTCACAACTCTTCAGTATATGAAATCAAAATTGATGACTTAAGTAATAGAAATAGTAGCTATCAAACGCTAATAATGTTTTATAGATCCATACAAACGGTATACTGCAGTGGTGAGTGCTGCCACTTCTGCTGGTAAGGGACAGGCAATTACTCTTGAATTTTATGCATTAGAAGGAAGTAAGCTAATAATTATATTAACATCTTCGTGTGTGTATGTGTGCACAATATAGTTCCTACAAAATTTCTATGTGCGAAAAAATTACCACCTTGATACAAAATCTTCATAAATTGAATTATGTTTGATTGAATGAATGATTCATTATAGAAGTTGTAGCATGAGTGGTGGTACCTTCTATCTGCCCATGCACCATACTACAATTTGATATGATCACACTACTGATGAATAATAAGTATTCATTCAACAAGGAAAGCTCCTTTTCAGGTTTTCTGCTTGCACATGTACTATTATATTAGATCATTTACCAATGATTATTAATACAACATTCATTATGGTAGAGCCTGGACCAGTCTCACAGTTAACAACAGAATCAATCTCAGAGACCTCTGTCCTTATATCATGGTCTGTACCTCAAGAACAGAATGGGATAATCTTATTTTATGAAGTTTCTGTTATGGGATTATATAATGAGACTTACAACTCTTCAGTATATGAAATCAAAATTGATGACTTAAGTAATAGAAATAGTAGCTATCAAATGCTAATAATGTTTTTATAGATCCGTACACAAGTTATACTGCAGTGGTGAGTGCTGCCACTTCTGCTGGTAAGGGACAGCCAATTACTCTTGAATTTTATTCATTAGAAGGAAGTAAGTTAATTAGACTCTATTATGTGTGAAAGTGTGTACATCTTCAAGTTTAAAAATTATACCATCTTGATTCATAAATTGAATGATTTTTGATTGAATGAGGAGCTACTGAATTACATTCATACAATAATGTGATATAACTTTAGAATGTTCTGCTATAGTTCCATAGGACAGAATTCAACATAGAATGTTTGTAATCAAGTTGAATGATTCATTATAGAAGTTGTAGCGTGGGTGGCATGTTTTATTTGCCAATGCACCATACTACAATTTAATATGAGCACACTGTTGATCAGCAAACATTATTCATTCAACAAGCAAAAAGTCTTTTTGGGTTTTCTGCTTGCACATGGTCATTCATACTACTCACCTTATATCATTTATTAATACAAATGTTATTATTGTAGAGCCTGGACCAGTCTCACAGTTAACAACACGATCAATCTCAGAGACCTCTGTCCTTATATCATGGTCTGTACCTCAAGAACAGAATGGAATAATCTTATTCTATGAAGTGTCCATTATGGGATTATACAATGAGACTCACAACTCTTCAGTATACAACATCAGAATTGATGGCTTAAGTAATAGTTATAGCACATGAAACATTGTTTATTATATTTCTATAGATCCATACACAAGTTATACTGCAGTAGTAAGTGCTGCCACTTCTGCTGGTAAAGGACAGCCAACTACTCTTGAGTTTTATTCATTAGAAGGAAGTAAGTTAATAATTATTACTTGTGAGAGTGTATGCATCTTCAAGTTTAAAAATTATACCATCTTAATTCCTAAATTGAATTATGTTTGGTTAAATGAATGATTTATTATAGAAGTTATAGGACAGGTGGGGCCTTTTATCTGCCTATGCACCATACTACAATTAATATGTTCACACTACTGATGAATAATAAGTTGTAAGCATTATTCATTCAACAAGGACAAATTCTTTTTGGGTTACACATGGTCATTCATACTACTACATCTTAGATCATTCATTAATGCAACATTATTGTTTTAGAGCCTGGGCCAGTCTCACAGTTAGTAACAGAATCAATCTCAGAGACCTCTGTCCTTATTTCATGGTCACTACCTCAAGAACAGAATGGAATAATCTTATTCTATGAAGTGTCCATTATGGGATTATACAATGAGACTCACAACTCTTCAATATGCAACATCAAAATTGCTGAATTAAGTAATAGTTATGGTAGCTAATGAATGCATCACTTCTAATAATGCTTTATAGATCCATACACACGTTATACTGCAGTGGTGAGTGCTGCCACTTCTGCTGGTAAAGGACAGCTGATTACTCTTGAGTTTTATTCATTAGAAGGAAGTAAGCTTATTAATTAATTGGGAATATTTTTGTTTGTGTATCCATGTACAACATATAGTTCCTACAAAATCTCCAAGTTTGACAAATTATACCATCTTGACACCAACATCATTCATAATTGAATGGGATCCACCACCCATTCGACACAGGAGAGGATTTATCCAGCATTATACAATACAGACAGAGCACAATCAAAGAATTTATATTTATAATTCATCAAAAAACAGTTTTAACATAACAGGTATTGCAAAATATCAATATTATATTGCTATCATTCAAATTTTTTAGGATTGCCAGAATTTTCAGATATTAATGTATCAATATCTGTCAGTACTTTTGCAGGTCAAGGCCCATTTAGTGAAGTTTCTGTAATTCATATTGTTACTGGAGGTATAAATTTACATTATAGTCTAGCGAAAATATAATTTTAATTGATCATAGTTGCCAGTGCTCCACATAACTTCACTGCTATAGCAACAAGCAGTCGTTCAGCATTACTGAAATGGGAACACCCAAAGTCACCAAATGGAAAGATACTTCACTATCAGCTTTACTACAAGCAATACCAAGCTATGTATCAAGTACGAATCTATCACATTTACCAAAACATTAATTACGTTATTTAGATTCTTAAAATAACAACTAAAAATCAAACCTATCATATTCAAAATCTGGATGAAAGCAAAGACTATTACTTTATTGTAAACCAATAATCTATTTAATACAAATCATCCTTCTGTATAGATGAATGCTATAAATTATGCTGGAAAAGGAGAGAACTCAACAGAGATTCGTGTTTCATTGCGTATGTACCATGGATCTCCTCTTCCAGCTACAAATCAAAATGCATTAGCAATAGCTCTTCCTGTTACTTTCACTTGCTTAGTTATTCTGGGCCTCATAGCCCTTGTTGCTGTTATTATAGTGCTTCGTGCAAAGATTAGAGGAACAAAGTAACTATTTCCCACTTTGTGTTTTTATAACTGTAGATCTATTATCTTTAGCATTCAAAGGGATGAAGAGAATTATAAAGAAAGGTATAGTATTAATAAACTGTCTAGTCAATTTCATTATAAAATAGTGAAGATGAAGAAAGAAAAGAGAAACGGAATGGTTTGTTTGAAGAGGAACTAGAACTTGAGGAAATTTCAAAAAATCATGAGGAAAGGTACAATTATTAATAATTTTAATTCAGATAGTTCATAAGTAAAGTAGTGAAGATATAATTAAAAATGGGAAGCTGGAATTTTTTGTTGAAGAAAAAGTTGAACTTGAAGAAACTTCAGAGAGCTATGAGAAAAAGTATAATTATTAATATACTTTAATTCAGATAATTTCATTGAATAAAAATAGTGAAGATGAAGAAAAAAAGGTTGACCAGAAAGGTTTGTTTGAAGAGGAACTTGAACTTGAGGAAATGTCAGAGAATAAAAAGAAAAGGTAAAACTATTACTAAACTTAAATTTAGCCTATAGTTCATTAAATTAAATAGTGAAGATGAAGGAAGTAATGAGAAACTGGAAGTTTCTGTTGAAGAAAAAGTTGAATTTGAGGAAACTTTAGAAAATCATGATAAAAGGTACTTTTAAAAATAAATTTTAATTCAGATAGTTTATCAAATAAAATAGTGAGGATGAAGAAAAAGAAAGGAAACAGAAAGGTTTTGTTGAAGAGAAAGTCGAAATGTATGAGGAAATTTCAATGCGTAATAAGTGAACATTTTACTGATTTTTGCTGCTAACTGTAACAATTTAGTTACTTTATTACACATAGGTGTAATAATTAGCTGCTTTTCATTAAAATTTACTAATAAATTATCATTAATATTTCAGTGTTGGGGTCAACTTCATAAACATCCTTAATTCAAATCAATTGAAAATAATTTTTTAGCTATGGGTATCCTGGCATTTTAAAAATTGGCACTAAAATGAAATTAATTTTTAGTGTATATATTGTACATGATAAACCACATAAAAGTTTGAGCAAATTCCGGCCAATTAGCTCTTAGACTGTCAAAAATTTTAAAAATCAATTATCAAAACCAGTAACAAAAAAGGAAGACTAACAACTAAAACAAACCTCAATAAAATGTTATTTATGAAAAAGTATTGTGCTGGGCAGTATGCTCCCTTTGTCATCAATTGAAAACTTAAAGTAATTCTTTACAATCTCATCCTTTTATGACTGTTGTAACATATATCCCTTCCCCAGTGTTGTAACGAATGAACTTTACTCCTGACTCCTGTACTTGCTCCAGCTACAAGAATGATAAATGGGGACAGATTAGCCTGGTTAGAACATTGGGTTCATGCATGGCTAATAATAGGCCTCAGTTATCAGACTGAAGCAGAGTGCAGTGACAAAGGATTGCAAGTATTTGTATGAATGAATGAGCATGAGAAAGGGAGAATTCTCCATTTTAAATTTTTTCGGATACATATACATGTTCTAATGTTGAATTCCGACCGTGGTATGGTAGCATACTCAAATCAATGACGAGTTTTGTTTATTAAGTTTGAACTGACTCCGACTGTCCGGCATACTGAGATATTATGATTCCAAACCAAAATTGTATTGTTTAAAGTTGCTCAAAATCAGGCAAAAAATCCCTGTGCTATAGTACAGAATTGTTAGCCAATTTTTGTCAAAAATAAATAGGAGAGAATTTTTTACTTTTATAATTTTTTCTGATGCACATACATGTACTTATTTTGTGTAGGAAGTTTGAGCTGATTCTGATCAAATTTAAATTTTTATGTATTTTTAAAGTGCTCAAAAATTGAGCCAAAATCCTTGTACTATTATAGTGTCGACCAAATTTTGTCAAAAATTACAAGGAGGAAATTGTCTGATACATAATATTATCTTGTTTACCAGAAGGTGTGTTCATGGGCGTGGCTCATTAGCGGTACGCGCGCGCGATACCGGTTATTAAAGCGCATGAACACAAAGAATTTGAAAGAAAGCAGCAGCTGCAGCACTCTCAAATCTCGATCTCGGCATTGAACTTGAAAACGGGGATCATAAACCGAGCAGCTCTTGATGATTTCGACAGTAAATTTAGTTTTATTTCTATCTCTCGTTTATGGCATTCTTGGTTCATCCTGCCCTGCAAGCAGTCCCCTGTCTTCTTATGTAGAAAAACTACATAATGCCACAGAAGAAATCATCACTGGCATACAGGCTATCGTTCTACAGTCTGGTGCAATCGCTAATATCACCAGCAACCAGGAAGGGCCTCCAAATGTGACAACACTTTACACTGCTCTTACTGCTGCTCTCAATGTAACACCAACGGAAAATAGACTGGATGAATTTTCTGATGCATTTGATGTCATCACTGATGCATACTTCAAGGCATGCTATGGCCCAGAAGAAGAGAAGCCCAGTCAATCAGATGCTCAGAGTATTCTTACTGATTTCATTTCTCTCCTTGAGAATAGAAGTGACATAACGAGGATGAGGCAGTTATTTGGAGAGCTGTCATGTCTTCAAAATTTTAACCACACATCTACTTCTTCTCATGTTTCTAAACGGGAGGCTATATATACTGATTTAGCCTCTTGTGCAAGGACTGATAATGTCAATGAACTCTATGAATGTTTGGATGCAAATAAACAGTTAGATTGCATCTTTAATGTGAATAATCCCAAAGACTGCAACAACGGGTTTACTAATAAAAAGCGGCATTGTCTTGCATTTGTTGTAGATACTACTGGAAGTATGGGGGAGGAGACTAGCCATGCTAGGACTGTTATTCAGCATTTCATACAAAGTGAAGAAAACATTCTCACACTTTGCTACGTCTTGGTTCCTTTTAATGATTTTGGTTACGATACTGAAGCATATTTCACAAAAAGTAAGTGTCACTGTGTCT